CCGCGCGCCTCCCCGCGCACCGCGGCGCGCGCCACGCCGCAGCGCGGCCGCGGCCCGCCGTCGCACGCGCGCACCTGCGCAAGCGCATTCATTGGCTGCGTCCCCGTGCCGGCTACCGACCGGTGCGGTGGGTGGACACGCCCACGAGGCATTTCTTTAACCCCCGACACAAAAAGAGATAAGATTGAAGCCCTCATCTGTGGCATCGTCATTCCCGAACAGACGGACTGATCTCAAGGCGTTTTTTTTTAATTGAAGGCTAATTAAATCGATGCGGGCCCTAGTCTAAGCTGTGTTTGAAGAACATCTCTTCAGTCGTTTAAAGATCTTGCTCTTTTCCCTTTAAGTGCAGGAATCGCAGTCACAAAATAAATATTTATTTTACTTCTACTCGTCCGATCGATTTCAAATTTGGTACTCCTAGTGTGGAAATCAATACAACATTACAATAATATGGTAACCTTGATCTGATGCTGTAATCGTGTATCCATAATCTTATAAAATCATAGATTGATAATTGATAAGTAGATTTATTTGCTCGATTACTGATAATGATACATTTTGACAAATTGACGATTGAAATGAGTACGCTGCGCGATGGCTGACCGCGATCTGATTTAAATTACAACAATATGGCGTAAAGTGCTGATGGAGCGCATTGTCGGTCGCAGACCGTACATGTTTATTAAAGAAAATAAATTGCCTCAAGATCGAATGTATTATAATTCAAATATAGGTCCTGCACGGTCACCAATAAAATATTTTGACTACCGTTAGTGGTACTTAATAACGGTAGTCAAAATACTTATAGGTAGTAAATCCACAATATAAAATCCACGGTTAAAAAGATGATTGTTTATCATGTACGAGGACATACGGCAAAGCAGAAGAATCACTTACAGTCACGTCGTACGAGTCCCCTGGCATCAGCGTCAGCCGCGGCGACGCGTAGAGCCGGCCCGTGGCGCTGTGCACGCGCAGCAGCCCCCGCGCCGCGCCGCGCGCCCGCGCGCTGTACCGCAGCGTGCCGTTCTCGCCGAGGTCGTCGTCCCTCGCCGTCACCTGCGCAACACGCGTGGTCGTCAGCGACGGGTCCAGAGAGCCGGAAGCGTCACTGCATGCAAACAATACTCCAAAAAAGCTAAGCGCTCACTTACTGCGGAGATGTAAATTCCGGTAGGTGATTCGTCGTCCATCGAGTCCCAGACTACGCGTCCGCCCGCTTCGTCTTCGTCCTCGGTTTCGGCTTCCCATTCCGTGCTGGTTTCATCGCCCGCGCCGCTCGCCGCGTCGCCCTGTCGCGACATTAAGCTACACTACCACTCCGACACTCCACACTTCGTACGAAACGCGAGTCGCGGTACACGAGACGCTTTATTTTCAACAAAATTACGTTCATGCACCGGCTTTGCAATCCTGGCCTTATTAGTCCACGTTTTCATTTTCATTACAAACGAAAACTCACAAACCTCTCAATCGAGCACGCACAACACGTCTTAGTAATTTCAAGACGATACGAACCTGCGGTAGAGCGTCGACGAAGGGGTCTTGAGGGCGGTGGAGAGGGGCGGGTACGCGGAGGTCGTAGAAACGCTGCGTGAAGACGGGGGTGTGGTCGTTGACGTCGGCAACGGTGACATGCAGTCGCACCGTGCAGGCGAGCGCGCCGTCCCAGCAGCGCACCTCCAGCGCGTGCTGTGGCGCCGCCTCGCGGTCGAGCGCACGACCCGTCGTCACCACCAGCCCTGTTAAAGCCAGGCGTGCTTACCAGGTACCAGAACTATTATAATAGATACAATGACACGTCATGATACTGTTTGGGGTAATAGTCGCCACGACTGTCGTAGTAGTTAGTTACCTTACGTCATCCTCGTCATTAGCAATCTAAAGCAGTAGAGCTCCATGTGGAAGTGCTAGTCCAGGAAAGAACTGCCACCTTACCTATTTCTACCGCCAAGCAGCGATGTGAGCATTACTGCGTTCCGGTTTGGAAGGGTAAGGGTGGGACTTGTCAACTTATGTTCTAGGGTGGCACTGCAACTGCTACGGATAGGCGTGTCGCTTATCACCAGGCGCACGACTTGTTCGTTCCGACAGTAGGTATTATAAAAATAAAAAAATTCATAAAAGCAATGCGCTCACCGGTGAACTCGTCAATAGAGAACAATCCATCCGGGTTTCCAGCCACAATGGAGTAAGTAATGTTAGCGGGCTGTGGAGCGTCATCGGCGTCTATGCAACGAATGGCTGCGACCACCGTCCCGCCCGGCGCGTGCTCCACCACGTTGCCTGTGTACGACGCCTGCTCCGGCCACGGCACCATGTCGTTCACGTCCTCCACTTCGATGAAAACCTACCACCATGTTCGTTATATTTTATACCTATCGATCGGAGCTGGGTTACTGTTTGCTACTGTGGCAACGCACTTGTCATCGAGTAATTCATGGTGACGTAGATTTTTTTTTGCGACAAATATTAAATACGAATGTACCTGCACTGTTGTGTATTTCGGAACGAGTCCGTGATCCTCGGCTGCTACAGTAAGCCAGTAGTGTGGTACAGCTTCTCGATCTAGCGGGGTCACTGTACGAATCACACCTAGAACAGGAATCACAAAATAAGACACCCTTCTACTCCCCACTCGTAGCGTCCACTAGAGGAGCACTTTGAGTATGATTCTGTACCTGTATCATCAATAGAGAAATGTGCCATGCCGGAACCGCCGACAATGTAGTAGGCGAGCCTGGAGTCCCTGCCCGGTGGGTCGGCGTCGGTAGCCGTAGCGGCCAGCACCACCGTCCCACGCGGTGCGTCTTCAGACACGCTGGCCGTGAGCACGGAAGGATCCGCAAACGCGGGCGCATGCATGTTCTCATCCACGTCCACCACTTCCACAATCACAGTCGCCTCCGACCACTGTGCCGGGCGTCCGCCATCCGTGGCGCGCACGGTTACACCGTATACCTAGTCAAAGTTAACTCATGAAATAAGTTTACAATACAACTAACAAATATTTTATCATTTGAATGCCACTGCCTCTTACCTGCCGCTCTTCGAAGTTCAGTCGTTTGGCTGTGCGTAGTGTGCCAGATGTACGATCAACTGTGAAAACGGTATCCTCTGATGCTTGATCTGGCAAGGAATAGGTAATTTCGCCGCCAGCATCCAGGTCTGGGTCGAACGCTTCCAACACAGCTACCAACGTTCCTACCGGAACATCCTCTCGAATCCGTGAGCTATAGGCGGATAGACCGAAGTGTGGCGGGTTGTCGTTGACGTCATCCACGGCTACCCTGACGAGAGCATCCGCATGTAGTCCGCCACCGTCAGTGGCCCTAATAGTCAGTTCATACAGTGCACGTCGTTCACGATCCAGCGGGGCACATACCATGAGTACGCCGCTGTCCCTTTCTACGCAAAACTCCCCATCGTCACCACTCAAACTGTACTTAATACGTGCAAACTCTCCGGCATCGCGGTCGGTTGCATTTGCTTTGAAAATTGCAGTTCCGTTTAGTGCATTTTCAGTCACGCGAAAGCTGGCTAGAGATTTTTCGAACCGTGGTCGGTTGTCATTGACGTCTAGGACCGTAACAGGTAGCAATCGTGACGTTGACCGTTGGGGCTTTCCAAGGTCATACACTGTCACGTTCAGGTAGTATTCAGTCTCACGTTCGCGGTCCAGGTAGCCGATGACTTTGAGCTCACCAGTGTCGGGATCTATTCGGAAAGCGGAGTCAGGGTCACCACCGGAGATGGCATATACAAGCAAGCCGTTATAACCTAAATCACGATCTCGTGCCCGAAGTTTCACTAGAGACGTACCGAGCGCTACTGACTCGTTCACTTTTACTTCAACTGGAAAGTCAATAAATTCTGGTGTGTGCAGGTTTTCTCCATAACGAGAAGGCGCCATGGGGAATTCATCGGCCATGTCTATAGGAGCATTACTGCGCTCGGCGGCTGCCAGCAGCTCGGTCAAACGACGGGCTACGCCTGTATCACGACACTCGAGACCATCAGTACCGCCTCCACCGCCCACTAGGTGAAGTGTTAGTGATGTGGGATCAGCGAAATGGGTACCGTCCGTTGCTGTTACATTTAACACGCGAATTTCTGTCCGTACATCGCTAAGGTCACAGGAAAGACTAACTACACCAGTGCTGGAGTCGAGAGAGAAACAGTTATCTTCGTTACCGCTTACAATTCGATAGGAAACTACGTCTCCGGCATCAAAATCAAGTGCTGACAAAGTGGCGATTTCCGTGCCAATCGGTAGCCGTCGTGATAGGTAAGCGACACAGTTAATTCTTTCAAACTGGGGTCTGTTGTCATTGACGTCTTGGAGATGAACAGTGAGTCTCATCTCGGCCTGTCTCCGGTACGGTAGCCCCCAATCGCTAGCGCGAATTCGAAGCACATGTTCTCGTCGCATGCTCTCGTAGTCCAGTAATCGAGTGGTTCGTACGGCACCCGAGAAGTGGTCGACGTCAAACGGGACCGGTTGAAGATTGGCTATACTGTATGATATGTAGGCATTTTCTCCAGAATCAGCGTCTCGGGCTGAGATGCGAGCTACCACAGAGCCACTTGGTCCGTTTTCGGCCACCGTGACCTCCATTTCCTCACGACTGAACACCGGATCGTTGTCGTTGGCATCCAACACTGTAAGTTTAACTTTTGCAGAAGACTGTTGACGTGTTCCTGCGTTTCCTTGATCAATGGCAGAAACTGTAAGTGTGTAGAGGGATTTAAATTCAGCATCAAGTGGCACAGCAGTATACAATACACCTGTATCCGGATTTACAACAAATTCACCGCCTTCATTACCTCCAACAATTTCTATATAGACACGAGCGTTCCGTCCTTCGTCTCGATCAGATACCTTGAGGCGAATGATGGGCGTTCCAGGAGGTGCAGTTTCAGGCGTTGTAGCTTCATACACTTCTCGGCTAAAGACTGGTGCATTATCGTTGGCATCGGTAAGCATCACTGGTAACGTGATATACGACGATCGTGATGGACGGCCGGCATCTCGCGCGCGTAAAGTCAGATTGTATCCATGCGGTGCGCTCTCTCGGTCAAGCAGCGCGTGTACAACTACATCCCACTCACCACGCTGGGCTGATGGTCGTACTCGGAAATGACCATCAGGATCACCATCTACAATGTCGAGGCTAGCAATTCGACCATGTTCACCGCTGTCACGATCCGTCACTTCAACGATTGCGTATATTTCTGCTGTAGAGTTCTCTACGAGTTCTGGAAGATGACGGACTCGAACTTGGGGGGCATGAAGGTTTGCCTGAGCCACCCGAACCACAACAGACGCACGCGCCGCTGGGGCTTCTTCACCGCGCGCTAGTAGTGAAGCTCTGTCGCGAGCCAATACTGCCAGTTCGTGGTGAGACTTGTCAGCTGCCACAAGCGAACGAGTCAGCGTTATCACTCCGCTCGTTGGGTGAACTGCAAATTGATCCGTCGGTTCCGCGATACTATAGTAAATTTCGCCGTTTATGCCAACGTCCGCGTCTTCAGCGGAGACGCGAGCGATACTTGAATGTACGGCGGTGTCCTCGGGAACGGTGACGTCATACTCCGTGGGATAGAAGAGCGGACTTAGATCGTTGACGTCGGTAACGGTGACTAGCACTACTGTGTCGGCTTCGAGCTGGGAGCCGTCGGAGAGCGTGGCAGTAGCTTGGACAACGAGGCGGTAGGAATCTCGTCGTTCGCGGTTCAGCACATCGGCGTGGCCGGCGCGAGTGCGCACGGATAAGAAACAGAAGTCTCCGACAGTGCGCTCCTCTGCCTTGAAAAACTTGTCTTTGGGGATATGCTTGATGCGGAAGCGGACCCTCGCGCCCGGCGCCGGCAGACGCAGGCCGGCCGGCGGCGCGCCGGGCGGAGAGGCGGCGCGGGCGCGCGGAGGGCTGTTCTCCGGAATGCTCACGTTGTACTGGTCGTACTCGAAGCGCAGCTCCGCGGGCGGGCCGGGCCCCGCGCGCGCGCACCACGCCACAGCGGCCAGCACGAGCCACGCGCGCGCCGCCCGCATGCTGCCCCCGCTTCCGTGGGATCTCTGTAACGAACAATGCCAACGAATAATGCAGCTGATCTTTGTAATATTTTCATGAAAGGTAGCTTGTGTTTTCATTTTATCCAACGTGTAGACGATGGTTTGTTTCCTGACCTCATGAAACAAAGCAAAGGGTTACTCTGTTTCAATATAATAATTCAATGTGTTTTTTAAGCACAAACTCACAGAATAGTAATGTAAGTATATTTGACGGCCTCCGTGGTGGAGCGGCTTGTACACCGGCTTTCATGGTGTCGCCATCTCTGAGGTCCCGGGTTCGATCCCCGGCCGGATCAGTGTAGAAACGAAATTTTGTATACTGTCTCGGGTCTGGGCGTTTGTGGTACCGTTGTTGTTTGCGATTTCCATAACAAAAGTGCTTTAGCTACTTACTTTGAATAAAGAGGATCAGAGCAACATATGTGATGTTGTCTAATTTTTATAATAAATATTATAGTCTAATATTTATATATATAAATATTAGAATAAGCTACCTAATTTTGTACATACAACAGACGGGCATAATAATAAATAATGTAAAGTAGCGATTTCATCCATGCAACCTTAGGAGGGTGGGACGGGGTGTTTAGTTAACGTTTCGAAAGGAAACATTCGCTCCAGACTATTACAATTTAATAAATTTGAAATCGTCGAATTTTAACCTAATTATTGAGTAATTGTGTGATAATAAATAATATGTGATATTGTTTGTGACAAGTTCCTTATGGTATAAACAGGAGTTTTGTACAGTGGAAATAATCGTAATAACATTGTAAACAAACTATCCAGTGACAATTTCATTGCAAATAGGAATTACCAGCTGAGATAAACGAGCACAAACTTATAAAAGTAACAATTACTGAAAATAACAGTGTATAATTTACAATTTCAATAAATAATAAACCGCTAAGTCATTTTGTTGTGAGAGTGAAAGTGACTCACCATTCAACTCATTCTTTACCTTACCTACTGTTCATAATACTCAAAAGTGCTCCTTTATTTCAATAGCTAGTGTTAATGGGCGCTTGGTCTAACGTTTAGGGGGCCAGACTGCGATACGCATTGCCGTGGTTCGAATCCAATGGACTTAAGTTTTAATAATGTTTATTTGAAATACTTTTTCTTATAATTATATTTACAAATCTAAATACCCCTACCGACAAATGCAAGTGATGCACGAGACAATGAAATCTTTCAATGTCGTGCAATTTTGAATATAATACCTTAATTTATTTTCATTATACACATGGATTAATAATATTTAGAATATTTAGAAAAAAATTAAACTTAGTTGACGATCAACGGCTTTAATGCTTTGTCACAATGACGAGTATGACCATTCGCAGGGCTGCGGCGGCCGCTGCCAACAATCAATTGGAGGACAGACTCCAGGTGACATTATTAGAATTGGAAGCGTCTATAAGTCGTTGTGTGAACATTTACTAGCAGAAAGGGATGACAGTGAAAAAGAAGTATTAAATATTTTGAATAAGAATAAAAAGTTGAAGATTGAGATGACAGAAATCAGTGATGAAAGAGACCGTAAAGAGACTCAGTCTTTTAAGGCCTTTTAAAAAACGTCGACTAATTTTTAACGCCTCTCGGCTAGTCTAGTCTTTTAACCCTCAAGTCTTGAGTGATAAGACTAAAACTGAAGACTAATTCGAGTCGAAGTCTTTTAACCTTGTGAAGCTTAAAAGACTTGTAGGACTAAAACGACTAAAAGGACTAAAAGGACTAAAACGACTGGCGCCTTATAGCCTCAGGAGTCGCGAGTTATGAGCCGTATGGCGTGATTTTATTTCTACCCACAAGATATTTATTTTACGATTGATGGATAACGTTAACGTACCTTTGTTCACAGAAGTCTGTTAATTATAACCAATTCAAGAATTTGTTTTTTGGGAATTATTTGTTTATTTAATATAAAAATCAATGGGTACAGAACCTAACAGTCAAAGTATTTTATCAAATTTTAGTGTCTGATACTGTCGTTTAACCATAATGATGAATGAAACATGCTATTTATGAACGTATTAAGTGCAGGTCCACAATTTCTGCCTACCCTTGAATTGGTGACAGGCGAGATTTTTATGTATACATTTGTTTTATGTAACACAGTAGTGAGATACAATTTATCTGTAAATTGTATCTCACTACTGTGCACGGGTGTCTAAAGAAGTTTAAAAAACAGTACTAGGACTTCATAATAAGAAAAGTGGTTAGAGACTAATATTCCACAAAATAAAAAAAAGAGTTTAGAACTGGATTTCCACAGGCTTTTAAATATTGGTTGTATTTCATTATTTTAATTTACTCGCAGAAAAAGTATTGCATGCAATCATTATATAACTATAGGTCTTAAATCTTGTACCTATTGCATAAATCACTCTTTGACTCCTGATTTTTATTATAAGTAAATAAACGTGATTACTTACTGCATACTACTTAATTTTTATTTATAAACTTCGAATTTAATAAGACTAAAATAGGTATAAGTCCATTGCAAAAAACTCGAGTCGTTTAAGTCGTCCAAGTAGTTTCAGTCGTTCAAGTCGTTTAAGTCGTATAAGTCGTTTAAGTCTTTTAATATAACGACTGAGTCTTATTAATAAAAACTCGAACCTCCAGTCTTAATTTTTGAGTCGAGTCCTGTAAAATGGAGACGAGTCGTTATAAAACGTCTTAAAAGACTGAGTCTCTTTCATCGCTAACAGAAATACATACTCAATTATTGAGTGTGCAGGAACAGCGCGACCAGCTACAGTGCGCGGTGGTTGGGCTTGATAGCGACAGAAGTGCCTTTGAGGATTCTCTGAAGCGTATTCCTTCGTGGCAGCTCCGTGACACTCATAACAAATTAGATAAATATGACGAAGAACGATTTACAGCATTCCCGGAGCCACTCGCTTTTTCAGGAGCTGGTGGCTAGCGATTGCAAACCAACTATGATTTCTGCTGTCTCGGCCTCAACAATAATATTTCTGTTGTAGATCTGACATGTGATGATGCTTTGGTCACGCACACAAAATTGCCAACTAATTGTAGCATAAATAAAATAAAGAAATATGTAAAAATTAACAAATATATAAAGAATACAAAAAACTAATAAAACAAAATAATATGCATATTAAAAGTGTAAATTTGATAAAGGAAAAGCAGGAACTAATTCGAAAATTAAAAATAAGTAATGTAAATTTAAAAACCAATATAAGAAAAAATATGAATGTGATATATGGCGCCTCAAGTTGGAAATTCTCGAGTTAAATCAGTCCTTGCAGGCTATAACTGATCAATTTAAGAAATCCCAAAGGGAAATTAAGGAGCACACGCTGGCTATGGACAATCTTCTGGAATTGATTAAATATAACTTAGAACGATTTGACTCTTTAACCAATAAACAGTGTGAATGCCAGTAACCCCTGCCACCAAATTCCCAGTCAGTGCGAATGTCTGTATTTAAGAAGCAGCCATATATCAAGGACGTTGGTAGTGAACATATTGTCATTGTGCAGACGTCTCAAAAGAAGTGTGAAGGTATAACTGAAGAGGTTGAGTTCCAGCTACCAAGTTCGATATGACAAAGTCACCATGCGGTCCTTGGCAGCGTCATAATGGAGAAAATGACTTTTAAATGTCACAACTTTCACATTTCTCATCTACCCACACAATAGTTTTTTCAGATAGATTAGGCATTGACTTTGGGGACTCTAACATTCAACTCGACACACGCTACTCCGACAATATGTTACTTCGACATTACTTTACTCAGACACTACGCTACTCCGACAATATGTTACATGGGGAAATCTAAAACCATAGAAAATACAAAGAAACTATCTTAGGAACCATAAAGTCGTCTTTTTTTGTGAAAACAATTTTAGCATAGTCCATTTTTTGGTCAAGTGTGAGCTGTCTATAAAAACGAATAAAATTGATCAAAATCTTTTTTAGTGCCGATCGACTTAGTTTCATGACGGAATCATTTCATTGTATGGGACGAAAAAAATCAGGACAGCAGAATGTAGTAATATTATTACCGATAATCCACGCAGCACTTTTAAATTTTGAGGGTAGGTTTAATTTGATTTCACAAAAAAGACGACTTTAAGGTTCCTAAGATAGCTTCCTTGTATCTTTTATGGTTTCGGTTTTCCCCATACTGTCCCATTTTAAAAAACACTATTTTAATAAAATTTATTTCCGATTACACAGTGTTGTCTTTTTTTGTTACATTGATCGATATAAGAAACCATTTCCTACATGGGTTTGTAATGATTATTTTTGTTATTGAGTACAAAGATTTTTTTTAATACAATCTCGTCCGTGTTGTCGAAATAGCGTAGTGTCTGATTAAATCATGTCGATGTAACATATCGTTGGAGTAGCGTAGTGGCTGAGTAATGTCGAAGTAGCGTGATGTCTGAATAAAATCATGTCAATGTAACATATCGTTGGAGCAGCGTAGTGGCTGAGTAATGTCGAAGTAGCATATTGTCGGAGTAGCGAGTATCGAAGTTCAATTTTATTATTGAGTTAGTTAGTTATTGAGTTAGTTAGTTATTGAGTCGACTTTGGGGTATTGTTAAATAATAATGTGCATGAATCCGTAATCAATTATTGCATATCGGGTATACTAAATTTATGGAATATATCAAGTTCTTGGGTTTTCGCGATTGTTACACATGGGAAATGAAACTATTTTTCCGGATTTAAATCGCGTATATTTGTTTTTTCAAACAAATCATGGTTTGTTTCATTTTTTATGGAATATATTTATGTAAATAAAGTAAATATTAGTAGGCACACAAACATTAATGATAGTAATAATTATGATCGGAAATAGCATAATGTATTTAAGAGAGACATAATAAAATATTTTGGAAAGTTAATAAACTTAGTCGCAAAAAACAAACTATTTCGTGTGCATTTCCATATGGAGAAAATCTTAGTAATAGCGGAAATAACCGTATTCATTGTTTGAATACTACATTGCATAATTT